GGAGGCCAGAGGGGGGCCCTGAGCCCTGCCCTCTCTGAGCTCTCCATCACCTGGTCTGGACTTGGCTTCTGTGTGGCGAGGCTGCAGCCTTCTTGGTGATGAGCTCGGGCACCAGTGTCTGTTCGCTGGAAGAAGGAAGGGGCCTGGGAGGATGGGGTGCCGGTGGCAGCGGTAATCACCTGCAGGAGTGGTGGGTGGAGAGCCCAGGAGGGCTGTGGGAGCTCCCCTGGACGTGGATGGTCTCAGAGGCTGCAAGGGAGGCTAGAGGCAGGCAGTGGGGGCCTCCTCCCGTTGTGGGCCCAGGTGCACCTGTGAGACGCCGCTTCATTCCAACTGCACCTGGAGGAAGCCAGGTCGTAAGTGCTGCTGGTCCCGCCTCGGCCCTGAAGACGTGCGGGATTGTTCTCGAAGCCTTTCCTGTCTCACACATGATGCTTCAGCCCCGGAGTGCCTGCTGTGGAACCCCGTTCAGCCTGAGTTTAACCTCGCCGGGCCCTCGGCTCGGGTGAGACTCCGAGACCTGCCTGGACTCTGCACACAGCTTCCGGATAACCTGGGCTGCTCTGCTCCTTGGTGTGGGGCTGAATTCCCACCTGTCCGCGTGTGGTGTGAGCTTGGAGTTTATCCGAAAAGACCTTTGCTCAGCCAGGAAGGGCCCTGTAGCAGGTGGGAGAATTGCCTTCCTGTGGCTGGACCTTGGGGTTGGGAACCCCACACCGCCCTGACGGCACGAGGGTGGGGAAGCCAGACGGGGTGCTGTGCCTTGGAAACAAGTCCCGTGCGTTCCTTTATGAGACTGACGCACTGCCTACTGCGCTAAGAGGGCCACTTCCCTGCGTTCCTTTAAACCTGGAAGTTCCCACGCTGTCCTGTCATCCAGACCAGAGTTCGGCAAACTGCGGCTCGCAAGCCACATGCGGCTCTTTGGCCCCTTGAGTGTGGCCACAAAGTTTCAATCGCATTGTACGTGCGCGCCCGCATGTGGTATTTTGTGGAAGAACCACACTCAAGGGGCCGCAGTTTGCCAACCACTGATCCAGACCAACTCATGCGCAACTGGAATAGACTTCCGCAGACCTTTTCATTAGAACTTGACAAGTAATAGTAAAAGGCTTAATCCTGGTAGGTTAAGCCCGTGGTCGGCAGACTGCGGCTCGCGAGCCACATGCGGCTTTTTGGCCCCTTGAGTGTGGCTCTTCCTAAGCCTTAGGAGCACCCTAATTAAGTTGATAACAACGTACCTACCTATATAGTTTAAGTTTAAAAAATTTGGCTCCCAAAAGAAATTTCAGTCATTGTACTGTGGATATTTGGCTCTGTTGACTAATGAGTTTGCCGACCACTGGGTTCAGCCATAGGTTGTTTGACACGTAAAGGTGAAATGAATTTTAGTCTACCGTATCTGGAGGCGTAATTGTTTCACATGCATTTTTTTAAGCCCATGGTCCTAAAAAAGGGCTGTGGCTACTGCTGGTGGTGCCCCGGTGTCAGCCGCAGAGCCTCCGCCGGCGCGTGTTGCTGGGGAAGAGACACCAGGCGCTGTGCTTTCGGGTCACAGTGGTGTCTCCGTTGTGTGTGGGACCCAGACAGGCAGGTGGGCAGGAGGAGGGGAGGAGCCCAGTTGAATGGGGCAGATACACTGAAGCAAACCTTTGAAACGGCTTGCATTTTGTTTGGGAACAGAGAGAGTCTCTTTTGTGTTCCCTGAATGCTGCCCATCTGCCCCGAGACTTGCAGGGACAGTAACCGAAGCTTCCCTGGCTGTGTGGGGTGGCCTCCCACAGACGACCTTCTTTCAAAGACAGACAAAGGCCTGTGAGGGTCGGCGTGCCCTCCACCGGACGGCAGCCGGCTCCGGGGGACGTGTGTATGTGGAATGGCGGTTACAGACAGACTTGTGGATTCTCAGGGGTCCTAGAAGCCAGGCGGGCCACAGCCCCCCACCGTCCTAGCCCTGCTGGTGTGCTCCTGCGAGCCCCAGTGAGATCGATGTCTGCTCTGCGGTCATTCACAACCATGTCCACGTGCCCCCTGCACTCAGGCCTTTGCTTTCAGACACCGTGCCCTGAAGCGGGTGTGGGACGGGCTCTGTGGAACCCAGGGTTGCACGTGTCAGGAGTGCGAGTGGAGGTTTCCTGCTGCTTCCTGAGGGAAAGCTGTGGAGGCGGGAATGAGCACTTGGTGACATTCCTGTGGAAAACGAGGTTTTCATTTTTAAGCCTCCAGCCCAGGGCCTGCTTCAGAGGGGGGTCTGCCTCCTGCACGCTGGGAGGCTGAGGAGCTGGAGCCTGGAAACCGGGCTGGTGTCTGTGGTCTGCGTGGCTCCCACCTTCCCTGCAGAGGGGCCTCTGCTGCTCCCCCGAGCCTGCTCCCCCAACCAGGAGAAGGCAGCTAGGCCCTCTGGGCTGGTGCCCCTGGGAGGGGAGCTGGGTTCCCACTTCTGGGGGCAGGATGGGCGCAGGGTGCAGAGGAAGAGGATCAGGAGTCTCTGGGTTGCATTTTGGGAGGGATGCCTGGGACAGTGATGGAGATGGCAAGTAGGTGGGGCGTAGGGGGAGAGGGCAGGAGTTCCTATGCAAGGGTCAGGCACCCTCCAGCGCCCTGACTCCTGGGACTTGGGACTTGATGAGGGAGGTTTCTGCGATGATCCTGTCCAGGTCCTCCAGGATCCCCAAGGCCAGAGGTGGATACAGTGTTCACGTTAGGGAACAAGTGTGGGTGCACGTGTAGGAGGTTCTGTGCCCAGAGCCGGGGGGGGGGGGGGGGGGGGCGGGGCGGGCACTGCCTAGGCCTGTGCTGGAGCCTCCCGTTCTGGACCCGGCTCTTCTGCACCTCAGCTTCTGCATTCAGGGGATGAAGTTGTTGAACGCAGGGCTGACGGCCGTCAGCCTCGGGAGCGTTCCTGCAGCACCGGCACCACCTGGCCCACCGTGTTCAGAGTTCGTCCGGCAGTGTTCCCCGCAGCCTTGGGACACTTGTGCACGTGGAGCCTCTGCTTTGGGAATGCTGTGAGGTCAGAAACTGGAGAACGTAGTGGGCAAAGGCACACCGGCCTGGGCTGTGGTCCCCACACGCACCCTGCGGGAGCAGGTTTCACATCGCTTTCTTAAGTACCACACCGAGAAGTGCCTGAGAATCACAAGGCAGGGCCAGTCCCACTGTCCGGGCGCTGAGTGTCCGCCACCTTTCGGCTGCAGGGCTGCCTGACATTTCCTGTGACTTGCGTGTGCAGTGTTGGCCGCTTTCCTTTCCTTAACGCTCTCTGGGCAGCGGTGAGTGTGTCATGGAAATTCCCAACCAACAGTGAGGCCCTGTGTTGTGAGCTGGGACCTCGTGGATGCTTTGTGACCGAGTGGGAGGGCAGGCCTGGGCAGGCAGCATCCGAGAGGAGAGGAGGCGCGGCCTTGCTCAACAGCCATCTCTGCTGTCTGCGTGAGCGTCACCTCCTCTGGCCGGTGACCCGAGCCCCTGGAGGGGTGGCCTGCGGTTCGGGGGGGGCCCGGCACTTCTCTCCCACCCGTGGCCTCAAGACAGGAATTGGTTTCTGAGGCTCGAATGTTCAGTCATTGGTTGTGGAAAACACAGCTTAGATGTTGCTGTTACTAGACCCCTTGTGCTTTATTAATGGTGGCTAACTTTTTATAATTACAGAAGAAAAAAGTATGCCTGTTTAAGCAAAGGGGTAGATTGGGTGAAAATAGCGGTCACTAATTGGTGTTATATGCAGGCCTTCATATTGTGCCGGATCTAGGGATGGTCAGTGTTTTCTCTCCTAGGCGTGTTTCTCTTTTTTTTTTATTTTTATTTTTTTATTTTTTTATTTTATTGATTTTTTACAGAGAGGAAGAGAGAGAGACAGAGAGCCAGAAACATCGATGAGAGAGAAACATCTATCAGCTGCCTCCTGCACACCTCCCAATGGGGATGTGCCCACAACCCAGGTACATGCCCTTGACCGGAATCCAACCTGGGACCCTTCAGTCCGCAGGCTGATGCTCCATCCACTGAGCCAAACCGGTTTCGGCATCCTAGGCGTGTTTCTCATGTAACCTCTGCAGCTTTAGGTCATATCAGAGCTCAGGGAACTCACCTGCTTTTAACCACATTCCTGGGAGACGGTGCACACAGGGCAGCGTTTGCCTCTCGGTGACAGGCAGTTGTGAGACCTGCACAGAAGTCACAGCTGCGGGAGAAGGCAGCAGGACTCACTTGGCCCCACTGCGTGCCCTGCGCTTGTCTCTGCAGAGGCCGCCCTGGCTCTGGTCCTGCTTCCTCGGGCGTCCGCAGGCAGGAAGGGTCATGGGTGGTACAATCAATCTTAACGTCCGAGAAGCAGGGAAAGACCTCGTACAGGGAACACCTCACGAGTAGCCTTTGGAGGATGTGGAGACCGTTCCTTTGAAACTGGCCTCAGGGCGCTGGGAGCATAGTGTCCACTGCACGGAAGCTTCCACCTACAAGGGAGGCAGGAGGACTGAGTGCCCATCTGGCTGCAGCCTTGGGAATTCATGCATGCAGGTGGTCAGTTCGAAGGGAGGCAGCCAGGGTCATGTTGTGCTGTGGGAGCTTGGACGCAGTCGGACACAGTCGGAGGCAGGGGGCCAGTTGGCGGGAGGCTGCAAGCAGAGAACCCACGTCCTCCCACAAGCAGGACAAGTGGGGACAGGAGACAGCACACGTCCGCAGTCCCAACCAACATCCTCGTTTGGACCCAGTTCAAACAAACAGTTAAAGCAAAGACGAGGCGGTTAGGAGCTGTGCATCGCTGGGTGCTTGCTGCTGGGGGAGCGTGTGACGACTCGCCGTGATGACGCAGTGGCAGATGGGGGTGCAGAGCCCTGTCCTTTAGAAGTGCAGCTGGCGGGTACAGTTCTGGAAGTGGGGGGCCTTTGGGTGGACAAGGTTCCAGCAGCTGATCATCGTTGGCACTGACAGGGTCACACGTGGCTGCATTGTTCTCTCTATTTCATTCAGGTGTTGGGAGTTTTCCTTAATAAAAGTACCGGCCTGGCCGGTGGCACAGTTCTTTAGAGCGGCGTCCTGTGCAGCAACAGGTGGCCGGGGCAGCCCCCGTCGGGCACGTACGGGAGGCAGGCAGTCCATGCTTCTCTCTCACACCGAAGGTCTCGCTCTGCTTTTCAGACTGGGCCGCCGCCATCCGCGTCGCTGCCCTGGACTGTGCGGAGAAAAGTAACCACGAGGTGTGCCAGACCTACGACATCCACTTCTACCCCAGCTTCCGGGTGAGCACCCTCCTGCCACGCGGCTCTGCTGGACCTTCTGTCCGAGCTGGGATCACCACAGGCAGCCCCTCCATCTCCAGCATAGGGGGCGCTTCTGTAGATACGGTGGGAGTGTCTGCTTGCAGAGGGTCCCTTTCTGGTCCCCCCTTGGGGTTGGGCACATTGCTGTGGGGTCTGTGTGGTGAGGGTGGGGTGGTCGGATCTGCTGCTAGAGTCATGTCTGAGGCCTCCGCACTTCCCCACCCACGTGTGGCCCACGTGAGCTGACGCCTCGTGCGCTGTGCTCATTTCTCTGGGTGCCTGCAGGACCCCCTGCTATGGCGCCCAGCCTGGCCACCCTGAGCACGCCACTGGGCCCCAGACAGATGTGTTCCCATCTCCCACTAGGGCAGAGGGTTAACAACTGGAAGGCAGAGAACCATGTACAGGGGATGCGTGTGCACACATGCACAGTCACACGCCTGCACACGAGCGAGAGCACATCACCATGGGAAGCACACGCTGAGGGAGCTTCGTGCCCCCTCCCCTTAGCCCTCAAGCTTGTGCCAAGCGTGTCCTTCCCCACATGTTCACGGGCCTCACACAGGCCGTGCCCGGCCCAGCCCTGCAGCCCATCCCCTGGCTCTCGGCTGAGTCTGACCCTCCCAGCGTTCTCCCATTTGGGTTTGTTTGCTGCGTACGTGGCCCAGTGCTGCCTGGAAGCTTTGAGTTTCTTACTTGAGAGGACGTTGCTGACAGTCACCCCATTATTGGGGCACGCTCCACCATCCCTCCGTTGCTGCCACCTGGCTGTTCCGCTCCGGCTGCTGTGACAACACTTGCACGTGTGCCCTTATGTGGGCGAGAGCCTTCTGGGCACAGCCTGGCAGTGTGTTGCTGGGTGGGGCTGCACCAGGATATACCTGCTGACCAGGGGCCACGAGCCTGTCTGGTTGTGGTCCTCGGAACACCCCACTGTGACCTGTCTGTCTGCACGTGGGTTTGCCCACTTCCTTTTGGGTCGTGTGTCTGTTTCCCACTCGTTTCCAGAGCTCCTTGTCCTTCGAGAGCTCAGCTGTGAGTGTGGCGATACCGCTCCCGTCCGTAACTGTCTTCAACGTGTCTTTTCAATAGAAAATGCTTCCTTCTGCTCAGAGATACTCATTGGTGCCTGTCACCCTCCCTGGAAGCCTTTGTGACGTTAGAGTGAGACCCTTAGGGTCGGGGAAGGTGCTGTCTGTGGCTCTGCCCTGTTGGGTCAAAGCGTGTAAGTAACGGTGCTGATGGGAGCGAATCACCCCGTACGCCGGCAGGAGGCCTCAGATCCACAGATACAACCTCTGGCTCCTCCTCTGGGGCCTCAGGGCTTCGAGCAGACTTTCTGGGGGGAGGTGACTTTGGGGTACCTGAATGCTCATTGGCTGGCTACAGATCATACATCGACAAGACCCCAGGCAAGGCTGTGTCTCATTTGTCCTATGTTTTTCCTCTTAGTATTTCAGAGCATTTACAAAGGACTTTACAACTGGCGAAAACTTTAAAGGTAAGGACATAAGCCCTGTGCCTTTACCGTAGGTTTGCCTCAAGTACCCATCATGGACAAATGGTTCAGGAGCCTGTGGCAGCCCCAGCTCACGCCCTGCCACCAGCCTCCTGCCCACCTCCTTTAAGCACTCAGGCAGGCGAGTCTCAGCCAGAGGCTTTGTTTGTTTGGCTTTTGTTACTCCTCACCCAGGAGATTTTCAGAGAGAGTGGGAGAGAGGGAGGGTGAGAGAGAGAGAGAGAGAGAGGCAGGGATGTGAGAGAGCCACATCGATTGGTTGCCTCCTGCAAACATCCCGACCAAGGCCGTGGATCAAACCTGCAACCGAGGCACATGCCCTTGACTAGGAATCAAGCCTGAGACCCTTCGATCCATAGACTGACACTCTGACCACTGACCAACACCAGCCAGGTGTGACTAGTTTTTTCCTTGTGCTGCTTTTAAGATTCTCTTTTTATTTTGAACTTTTAAAAAATATATTTTTATTGATTTTAGAGAGGAAGGGAGAAGGAGAGAGAGATAGAAACATCAATGATGAGAGAGAATCATGGATCGGTTGCCTCTTATACGCCCCACACTGGGGATCGAGCCCGCAACCCAGGCATGTGCGCTTTGACCAGAATCAAACCCAGGCCCTCAGTCCAACGCTCGATCCACTGAGCCAGACTGGCTAGGGTGTGATAAAGTTTTTATTTTTTAAAAAAGTAAACTTTGTAATTGAAAAAAATATTGGAGAAGTGCACACCTGGTGAATTTTTATGAATGGGCCCACCAGGTAGCTGGCACCCAGATCAGGCCCCAGACGGTGACCAGTCAGCCCACGGTGACTGCATTCTAATCAGAGGCCGTCCTGCCTGGTATGAACCAGGTGTGGGTGGAGTCCGCGTGCCCGGCCTGTGTCTGCACGCCTGTGTGCAATACGTCCCTGTCACCTCACCGTGCAGCCTCCTGTTGGACTCACCACTGTCTATACCAAACTCTCGCTTGCGAGGCACCCCGCTGGGGACGGGGGGTGGGGGAGGCATGTGGTAAGGTCACCGAGGTGATGGTGGTTGCTTCCCCAGGGCCTGACCGAGAGCTGCAGACGGTGAGACAAGCCATGGTTGACTTCCTGCAGAACCACACGGACGCAAACAGGCCTCCCGCCTGCCCGGCGTTGGACCCTCTTCGGTGCGTGGTTCTGTAAGAGAAAATGGCACGTTAGGTGTCGAATTTATTCTGCAAACTCAGATGTGCACTAAGTGGGCTGGGCCCTGTACCTGGTGGCCAGCTCACTGTTCGTAAAAACACTGAAAGCCTTTTTTTCCTCTTAAAAGGCCCAGTGACGTTCTTTCTCTCATTGACAACCATGAGGGCTACTACGTGGCTATTCTGTTTGAGAGCAACAGCTCATATGTTGGACGTGAGGTACCATGTCTGTATCCTGTCGGGTCCTGGCGTGATGGGTTCAGCACGGGGCCTGGGCCGAGACCCCGGGGGTGAGAACTAGGGTACTCGTGTTACTCGGTGAATCGTCTGGTTTGTGGAGAAGACAGTGGGGAAGCGCTCTGAGGGCAGGAGAAGAGTAGGGCACAGGCTGGCCTTGTCCCCACGTGGGCGTAGGGCTCAGGAGGCGGGACCTGGGCCTGGTGGTGCAGCTTTGCTGCTATGCTCTGGAGTCCAGTTGGTTTGCTGTATTCTGGGCTCCCAGCTTGTCAGCCCGATGGCTGCCAGGGTGGAGGCAGCAGCTCCTCAGCTCTGCCCAGAGCCGAATCCTCTTCCCCCTGCCCCACCTCGGCACAAGGCAGAGGCCAGGGCCCTGTTGCTGTCCGGGGATGCTGGGGCTGTGGCCCCGGGGGCGGGGGGCACTTGAGGGTCAGTTTCATGGAGGATGTGCTGGCTGAGACAGTACCGCACAGGGCCACTGTCAGGTGCCCTCAGACCATCTGGTTTCTGCCGGGATGTCCGTGGCTCAGTTGCCTTAAATGTGACCATCTGGGTGCGGAGAAGACAGTGCAGTGTTCCCGGTGACGCTGCTCTGGTTCTGTGAGCAGGACTCCCTCTGTGCGCCGCTCCCTGTGGACCCGCCTGGGCCGAGGGTAACCTTCCCTCCTGATGCAGGTGATCCTGGACCTGAGTCCTTACGAGAACATCGCGGTGAAGAGAGCATTGGACAGCAACCCGGCCTTTCTGGAGAAGCTTGGCATCTCTTCCGTTCCTTCCTGTTACCTGGTTTACCCAAATGGGTCCCACGGGCTAATTAACATGTAAGCGTAGTTTGGCTGAAGGACTGTTTGGTGGTGGCATCCCGGAACCATCTGGGTGGGAGCTCACACCAAGCCAGATGTGGTCTGGTCCGCGCCTGTGTCCCAGTGAGCGGTGGGCACGGGTGGGCTCTGGACTCCATCCCCTCAGTCCACTCTCCTTCCTGAGAGCACAGTTGTCCTCTGCGCTGGGGCCCCTGAGAGAATCCCAAATTGGAAAAGGTTGTGGGCGGAAGGGTTAGGTCACGTCCAAAACCTGTGCTGCCTGCCGGGTCCCCACCTCTCCGCCCTGCTGAGTGGTTCTCATGCCGCCGCTGGCCTGGGGGCCTCGGGCTTTGGGGAGCTGGGTGTCTGTACCACCTGCACTGAGCTCGTGAGGGCTGAACACCGGGCCAGGCTCAGCCACTGTCCTCCCCCAGCTCCCTGAGCACTGCCGTTCGCCTCAAAGACCGAGGATCGTTCTGTGGGACTGTCGTCTGTGCGATGTAACATAGAGGCACACTTTACGTGACCTTGAGCTACTGGAAGGTCTCAGTCGGCCTTCACACGCCCTGTAGCTCGAGGGCCCATTGAGCAGCAGGCTCGGGAGGACCGAGGCCGAGACCTCCACACGTCCAAGAGCTGATGCTGCGGCTGCTCAGCTGGCTCCAGACCCCCGGGTCCCTGAGCAGCTGGGGCCCAGGGCAGTGGGTTTGTCTCATGTCCTGGGAGAGGGGGGCGCGGCCAGCTCCGAGGCCACACCCATGGCACCTGCAGTGAAGGGCGGGAGGGGAGTACAGCTGCCCTCCCTCACGAAGGGGCCTGGGCAGCTCAGCCAGGTTCGGGCTCCGGCTCAGCCCACACCCACCCACCCCTTTCTCACAGCATGAAGCCTCTTCGGTCATTTTTTTCCTCTTATTTGAAGTCGTTGCCAGATGTGAGGAAAAAATCGCTTGCATTGCCTGAAAAGCCAAGCAAAGAACAAAATTCTGAAGTTGTGGTGTGGAGAGAGTTTGACAGGCAAGTGCTCTTTGGACAGGAGGTGTGGGAGGTGAGCACTGGGAGGCCCAGGTGGACAGGAAGCTGCGGGCTCAGCTCGCTGGAGGCTCAGGCCTCCCGGGGGTTGGGGGACGGGAGGCGGCTCACTGGAGAGAAGGCATTCATACCTGGCTCTGTGACATCTAATTTCAGGTCAAAACTGTACACGGCGGACCTGGAGTCGGGGCTGCACTACCTCCTGAGGGTGGAGCTGGCCACCCACAGGACACTGGCTGGGGCCGAGCTGAAAACACTCAAGGACTTTGTTACTGTCGTTGCCAAGGTGTGTGGGGTCTGCTCTGGGCTGGGGCTCGGTTCGTGACCCTGCGGATCGAGGCCGACCTGAGCTGGATGTGCACTCTGCTGGCCAGCGGTGCCCAGCCCACTTTTGGCACTGGGGGCGTGGCTCATGCAGACGCCAGGCCTGAAGGGGCACCGAGCAGGGGGCCTGGGTTGGTGGGGAGGGGCGTGGGCAGGAGGGCCATCTCCAGGGGCACTTGCCCAGGTGGGTGGTGAGTGTGGTGGGAACTGTGGGACTGACTCGGTGTGTGGCTGATGCCAGCAGCCCCATGACGTGGGGGATGGGGACAACAGGAGCAGGCGGACAGCACCCTCACGGAGGGCACAGCGCGGCCGCCATCCTCGTCCTCTGGAGTCTGCTGGGGGGGCCGTGACCAGTGCTGTGGGCGCCACCCTCCGCGTTTAGTAGGAGTTAGCGCAGTGTTCCTGGAAGTTTAGTTCCTGCCTTGGCCGGCTGTTGTTTTCTGGCCCAGATAATTCCGGAGGAGGGAGGCGGGAGGCCACCCCCCTCAGGTTCCTGGGGCAGGTCTGAGCCCTGGTTCTCTTGCCCCTGCAGCCCTGTCTGGGCCTGGCTGTGGCTCCTCTGCTCTCTGACTGCTGGGGTAGCCTAGCCAGGGTCCTAGGGCCCAGCAGAGACCTAGGGCCCCAGTCACAGCACTGCGACGTGATTTACGTTTAAAGGAATAACTAGGAGGCGCCTAGTGCGTTTCCCACGAGTAAAGGAAAGCTGCTTGGACAGGCTGTGATCCTGTTGTGGGTTCAGAATTCTGGAATCTCCAGAATGTCCTCCTGCTCATGGGCCGTCGGCTGCTCAGCGGTTCGCTGCTCAGCCTCCGCTGTCGGCACCGGCTCAGCGAGCAGCGGGCCCAGCTCCCAGGCCAGCGTGGCCGTGCATATCTCAGCCGTCTTCCTGCAGCTGACTCAGACTTGAAATTCATGCTCGTAACTGGTGGTGGTGCTGGGCGACCTGTGGGAAAAGAGTTTCCGGGGCTGACAGTGTGCTGTGGCTGCTGTTCTTCAGCAGCGACGTCATAAGTTAGGTCAGGTGTGAGGGTGCAGGGTGAGTGCCACACGCTGACCAGTTGGTCACACTTGCTCCTGGAAACCTGAGGGGCTGCCTGCCTTCCCAGGGGTCTGAGTGTGGTGCTTCCCCCTCAGCTGTTCCCCGGCCGCCCGCCCGTCAGGAAGCTGCTGGAGATGCTGCAGGAGTGGCTGGCCAGCCTCCCCCTGGACCGGGTGCCCTACAACGCCATCCTGGACCTGGTCAACAACAAGATGCGGGTGCGCACCTCCCAGCTCCTGCCCACGCACGGGCATCCCCGCGGCCCCGCCTCAGGCCCCTCTGCGGTGGCTTCTGTCCCAGTCCCCATGATGACTGCACATCTCCTCCTCTGTCCCTGGTGCTGTCCGCTCCCTGTCAAGTCCTCAGTGCAGGGACATTGGTGACGGCTGCCCGCGCAGGCAGGGGTGGTTTCTCACGGGATGGCACCAGGGCTTGTTCAGAAAATTTTGAGTAGACGGAATCGTGCACCTAAAATTGATGTTTAGTAAGAGTGTGGCTGAGCTGCTCCTCGGGCTGTGTTCCCATAGTGAGCGTCGCTGAGAGCCTCATCCTCGCCAAGACTAGCTGTGCCAGGGCCGTGGTCTGCACGCACCTGGCGTGAGCCTCTTGGAAGTGCTCACAGTTTGGAGACGTGTTCCCGTGTGTAACTACCACCAGTCAGAGGACACTCACCAGCTATTTCTGTATCTGTTATTCTTTCTTGGCTCAGATTTCTGGAATATTCCTCACTGATGAGATCAAGTGGGTTGGCTGTCAAGGAAGCCGCCCGGAGTTGAGGGGTTACACGTGTTCTCTCTGGAAGTTGTTCCACCTGCTGACTGTTCGGGCCGGGACCCACCCAGATGCGTTGGATGGCACAGGTAACGTCCCTGCACAGCCAGGTGCTGTCTGCCCCCGACGCACCGGGATGCGCCGGCCGGGCCGTCGGAAGCTGAAGCTCAGCCGCGGGGCGTTGGCTGTAAGGCAGTGTGTCATCGGGGGCCCTGGGGGCCTGCTCAGCAGGCGGAGGGAGCGTCTTTCCGGGTCACAGACCCCACGCGCCCAACGCGGAGCCGAGTTCTCCCCTCCCTGGGCCCAGCACGTGCAGATGCCCTGCAGCCGCCCCGTCCCAGCCCGGGAGAGGACCTGCTGTGGGAACCTCTGCTTGTGTTTTACAGGCGTGAGACTCAGTAGGAAAGGGCGTTTTATCTCTCGTTGCCTGACAGGATACCCTAAAACCCAGCAGCTTGAAGCAGTGTACTCGTCTCTCACAGTGTCTGTGGGTCAGGAATCTGGTGTGGCCAAGCCAGGTCCTCTCCCAGGGCAGCGGGTCTGCCTGAGGGCCTGGGTGTCACCTGCTGGCTGTTCCTCCGGCGTCCTCTCCACAGCAGCTCCCACAGCACTGGCTCCGTCAGAGTGAGTCCCTCGCTGTGCGTGTTCTGGTTGTTAGAAGTCAGCCATGGCCTTGCCTGCTCGCGGGAGCTGGCGTCCCGGGGCCATCTCAGGGGCCGCCTGCCATAAGAGAAAAAACTACCAAAGTTTGAGTGGGTTTACTAATTTCAGTCACCAGAAGTAGCTAACGCAGAGTCGTCATGTTCTGCATGCTCCGTGGACACTACGAAATGTGCTGGATATTTTACCCTTTGGACTTGGTTGTGCGGACACTGCCTGGCCCCAGCAGGCCGCTGTCTCAGTTGTCATTTCCCTTTTTTTAAATATGTTTTTTATTTCAAAGAGGAAGGGAGAGGGAGGGAGAGAGAGAGATCAAAACATTAATGAGAGAGAACATCAATCGACTGCCTCCTGCACGCCCCCTACTGGGGAGCAAGCCTGCAACCAGGCCTGTGCCCTGACCGGGACGCACACCGTGACTCCAGGTTCATAGGTCGATGCTCAACCACTGAGCCATGCCAGCCGGGCTTGGTTGTCATTGTCGTAGTTGCTGAGGTTCACTGATGCTCATGTTACATCTTGACTCACACAGTCCAATGTTCTTTCCAGTGAAAGTGTAAAATCCATAGGTACCTTTTGCTGCCTAACAAACTAACCCAGAGGTGGTGGCTCTTGTGTGGGACCGGTGGGTGCTCGTCCAGAGGCCTGGCGGTTGGTCTGACTCAGCAGGTCCGAGCCCTGCACCCGGCCTGCTCTCACCACACCCAGGAAGGCGCTCTCAGGGCCTCGGCGGGCACAGGCCTCGCTTCCGCACACCCTGTCCGTCGGATAGGGCTCACCTGCCGGGTGCAGAGGGCAGGGCCGCCCTCGGGCATTTTTACCACGAAGCTCTCGTCCAGGCAGTGCTGAGTTCTGGGGTCTCATGGGGCAGAGGTGGGCTTTGAGACTTGAGATTCTCTTAAGCATACAAAGGGGACCTTTGTCACACAGGACAAGAGCAGCATGACTTTTAGGGGCAACGCGGAGCTCCCGGACAAAAGTGACGTCAGACCAGCTCAGCTGTGCGCACAGCCGGAGCCTTGCGTTTCCGGGTCCTGCCCTGGCAGCAGCACACGCTGAGGGCAGCCTGGTAGCCGCCAGGGCTGCGTCCCCAGGAGACTGCGGAGCGGTGTAGCTCTGCCTTGTGTCGGAGGGCGGCACACGGCGGAGCACACAGATCCCACGGGGTCTCGCCCGGTAGCAGAGCCACGTACATTGCAGTTCTACCAGGAGCATGTCTCGTGCTGCAGAACTGGGTCAGACGGAGATGCCGGATTATGTCTTGGAAGGTTTTCCTCTCCTTATTGGACGCTTAAGCCCATCGACTAAAAGCCTGCGTGTCCCCTAATCCCCTCAGGTAGAGCTTTGTGGTTCTTGTGCACTTTAAAGATTAGGGAGGTCGCAGTGAGCAGTGCTTGGCTGGGGAGAGAAAAGGAGGATTACAGTGAAGCGGAGCAGATGTCGGCCCAGGACTGCTGGCTGCCGGCGAGGGGCCACGGGCAGAGCCCAGCCGAGAGCATGCACGTGGCGATCTCACTGTGGGCACTGCCTCACTGCCCTGGACACAGCCTGGGAGCAGTCGGCTCAGCTCACAACTCCGAGTGGAGTGGCCGCCACAGTTAGTGACTAACGGACATGGGAATTAGGCCGCTGGGGCTTCAGGGCTAGTGGGCGTGGCCGTGAGGCGGAGCCACAACGGCTTCAGCCAGAAACCACGAGGGCCTGCTGTTGGTTCTGACGGATTCAGTCTCAAAAGTGTGTCTTTTGTTACCCGGTTACCTTGCTGCCTGTCTTTTAATGCTGACAAGGTCCCCTTTGTATGCTTAACCCCCCTCCTAGCTGTCAGGAGAGGCCCTCGAGGCCCAGCCCAGGCTGCCCTCTGGTTCTCTCAGGGCCCCTATTAGGGCCACGTTGTCTCTGCCCCCCTGCCTGTGGCTGCTCTCCCGAAACGTCAGGGTGTGTTTTCTCAGGCCCCATGCGGGGCTGTCACTGGGGGTGGATGCTGGAGCGCTCCCACCAGAGGTGGGTGCCTGCCGTTCCCCAGACCGCCCTGGTCACTGCCCATTCGTCCCAGGCTACCCTTGGGAAGGTCAGTGTGAAGCTGGTGGCACCCCCAGAGGCACAAGCTAAGGCCACGTGCATACCTGGGCTTGTGTTGTGCAAGGACTTCGGAGCAAAGCAAGCACTTAGAGGAGTGCGCTGTGGCCCCGGCACCAGCCTTCGGCCTGCTTGTGAGGTGGGAGGACGTGCACAGGACCCCACCCGACCCGAGGCAGAGCCCTGCTCTGGGGGTGAGGCCAGAACCTGGTCAGAGGCGCGGCTCGCCTCCAGGAGGTCCTTCCCCTGGTGCTTGTTCTGGGGGCTGCACAGGCGCATGCTCGGCAGAGGCCGTGGGGCCAGCAGCCCTGTTGCCGTGGGTCAAGCATGTCAAACTCAGAGGCTGACACGGGCCAAATAAAAGTTTATGTGGCCACACAAAAAACAACAGCTCCCATTTTCCTAGAAACATACGTTTATTTTGATAGAAACATGCTGAATACAAAGGGCTGAAATAAATGAGTCATCGTTAACATAAAATAATAGAACATTTTAACAAAAATTAATATTTTTTCTAGAACATATATTTACCAGACACTGAATAACTACACAAATTAATAAGTGTTAATGCAAATAAACCTAGTTTTCTTGTTCTCCGAAAGTGAAATATTTCCTGTTGCACACACCAAACAAGTCAGTCCAAGACGAATGACGTGGCCATAGGCTGCTAAAACATTCGCTGCTGGTGTCAGTGGAGAGAAATGGTGCGCCTGCGCGTTAAGTCGTGTAAGGGAAATGGATGCAACACGATGATAGTCATCAGTCATTAGCGAACGTTGTAGTTCGTTATTAATAATTGTGTATAACAGGATGTTGTAAAAATTATAAGTTATGAAATTTTTATTAAAATGTTTCCTACATACCGTTATATTGCCTGGACACACCAATATTGGTTGTGGGCCATGAGTTTGACATTCTTGCCAAACTCATGTCGGGCCTTAGCCCGTTCCTGGCTCCCGACACCACCCCAGCCCTGGGTTCCAGTAGGAACCATCAGGCCTGTTCTGTGCCTTGTTTCCGGGGTGCCACAGTGCTTGGTCCCTGCAGGTTTCGAAGACGACCCCCAGGCGGTGCTGCAGACCATCCGGAGGTACCTGCTCACCTTCTTCGGCTGCAAAGAGTGTGGGGAGCATTTTGAGGAAATGGCTAAAGAGTCCATGGATTCCGTGAAAACCCCAGACCAAGCAATCCTCTGGCTTTGGAAGAAGCACAACCTCGTGAACAGCCGCCTGGCAGGTAAGCAGAAGCCATGGTGGCCTGCCCGTGCCTGTGAGCGGGTGGGGAGGTGGGGGGGTGGGCAGCAGCACTGCTCGCGGGGATGACCTGACCTTGGTGCCGCTCTGCCTGCTCTGAGCTCACAGCGGGAGCCAGCCCTGCTCCGCCATCAGTTTCAGGACCTCCCTGGGGGCTGTTCTCAGGCTCCAGGGCGCCTGCTTTCCAGATTGTTCTCTCCCTGGAGCCACGTGGAAGCTGACAGGCAGCATGCACCCCCTGAGGAGCCCACGAGGCCCAGTGAGACGCAGCGGGAGGCTTGGGTCATAATTAATTTTCAGGAAGGAATTTTAGTGTCATTAAAATCTGCTCTCAGACAATAAATCAAACTCCTCAAAATGGCTTTGTTTAAAGCCTAAGTAGGGCGCATACATTTTCTCAGAGTTAAGTAATTCAAACTGCTCCTAAATCAGTGGCAGATTAAAATTAGGCTTAAAAATAATTCCACTCAGAAGTAAATCTTGATAAAGATGAATAGAAAACCCACTAAACTGTTGGTTTTTATTTAATCCACTGTATTACAAAAACATATTACAACTCAAGCACTAAAGAAAATTGGTTGCTCTTTGCACCAGAGCTGCCTGCTGGCTCTGGTCACGTGGCGTGGCCCTGGCCCCTTCTGTTTGCCAGCTTTGCCCTCCTGTCGGTGCAGGTGAAGGCCCCTCCGTGGAGGCCCTGCTGCAGGTGTCAGGTCTCCCCGTGCCTCTGCCTGCCACCTGTGCTCCCAGTGAGTCCGAAGTTGCCCTGGCAGCACTGAGCTCCAAGAGCCCGTGCCCCCTCCCCCGTCATTACCCTGTCGCCAAAAGGGCTTTCTGCAGCCTATGGGATGTCTCCTAGTCCCGTAGTCCCAGCCCACCTTTAGCAAAGCAGTGGGACAGACAGGAGCAGGGCAGGTGAGTGGCAGTGTAGTCTGGCCATGGGGGCCGCCCGAGGATGCTTTAGGGAAGCGGGGGCAGCTGTGCAGGAAAGGTGGGGTGAGGGGCGCAGGCGTCATATAGTCCCCGCGGCGAGGTCTCAGTGGGTGTGGGTGGACCAAGAGGGTGGGGGAGGCAGGCACCTGACCGTGGGCGGGAGGCCAGTGGCGTGGCAGCCCTGGGTGGTGGGCGAGTTGAGGGAAGGCCTCCCCACAGCTGCCTCCCTCCCGCTCCCAGGCCACCTGAGTGAGGACCCCAGGTTTCCCAAGGTGGCGTGGCCCACTCCGGACCTCTGCCCCGCCTGCCACGAGGAGCTGAGGGGCCTGGACAGCTGGGACGAAGACCAGGTTCTCCTGTTCCTGAAGCGGCACTACGGCAGCGACAACCTCATGCACACGTACGCCGCGGCCCTGGGTGGCACGGGCGAGGCCGAGGAGCCAGAGGGAGGCCGAGCCAACCCCGAGAGGCCTGGAGACCACGGGGCCGAGAGCCTGCACCAGCCCAGGGCCCTGCCTCCCACACCTCGCCCCTCAGAGGTGTCGCACCTGGGACCAGCCAGGCCTGAGGGCCGCAGGGAGGTGGAGGCGGCTGCACCGTTCCTGGGGATGGGCTTCTCCAGCCTGGACATGAGCCTCTGCGTCCTGCTCTACGTGGCCTCCTCCATGTTCCTGATGGTGATGTTCTTCTTCTTCCGAGTGCGGTCCCGGCGGTGGAAAGGCCGGCACCGCCGTCCGTCAGTGTAGAGCTGAGCAGCCCGCCCGCGCCTGCGGCTATAACGTTTCTGATCAGGGATGACAGGCAGGGGGCCTGCTCCCCACTCATGGCAGCTGTGGTCCCAGAGCTGGGGCCTGTGTGCGTTCCGGCCTTCACAGTCCGTGGACGCCTCTGACAAATCCATAGCAAAGCGACTTCTATGTTTTTACTCTTCTAGGTCTGAAAACGGGAGTGGGGTGTCCAGGCCAAAAAGAATGTTTTGCACCCACTTTCATCAAGTTTACTGGGCTCCACATCCATTGTGCACGACCTCCTCTGGAGATTTGGAGAAAAACCCAGCCCTTCCCCATGGAGGCTAAGGGGTGACTGAATGTAGCCAGGGATACCCCCGCCCCCCCCCCATCCCCGCCATGGGGGATAGACTTGGTGTGGGGAGGGAGGGTGGTGCTCGTCTTACTCTTCAGGGACAGTGCCTTGGCCTGTTGGTTGTTACTCTGGTGATGAGAGAGCTCAGTGCGTGAGGGCCACCCAGGCTGCCTGTCCCTGGCAGTCAGGAGACTGTGAGCCCGAGAGCAGAGCTTCCGCCTGGGCCCCTGCCATCCAGCACCCACTGCCCTCCTGAGCACTGCCCAGAGCCAGAGTGGGTGGTGCACGGGGTCTCGCTGGCATCTCTAAGGCCAGACTTCATTTGCCTGAATACACAGGGCCTGGCACAGGGCCTATCACTGGGCTTTGGTGGTTAATTATTTACCATTTAATGGTTTTAACATTATTTTAAATGTGTTAAAACCCAGAACATTCAGAGGTAAAGTAAATGCGTAAACAAACGAACTCCTGGGGGCATTTCCTTTGAGACCCTTATGCAGATGCTCAGCAGTGTGCGCCCCCGCGTGTGTGTGTGTGTGTGTGTGTGTGTGTGTGTGTGTGTGTGTGTGTCTGTGCCTGTGCCCCCTTGTGTGCGTGATGGTGGTAAGTAGTTCTTTCCACGGTGCCTGTGGTGTCCGCATGCTCCCTCATTGCAGCGGCTAAGCACGTGTGGACTACTCACACCAGGTCCTGCCCCAGCCCAGCTCAGGGGAGCCCGAGGATGGTGCCTGCAACGCTGCCACCAGCCCGGTGCCCACCTGGGGGCAGGCGTGGCCAGGAACAGGGAGCCCTGCCCTGAGCTGAGCCTCTGCGCCACCCCTGCCAGAGGTTTCCAGTTGGTGACACGTTTAACCCCTAGAAGCCTCTGGTTTAAACCTGAGGCTCGCGTGCCTGGTTATTGACAGCACCATATTGTTTCCTTTCAACTTGAAAACGGGCCAGTTTACAGAGGCCACGGGAAATCCTGGGCCTCTTTCATTAAACTGCCTTAGGTTCGTGTCAAATGTCGTTTTCTCCCCCAAAGTAAGTTTCTGTGAGCAGTGGGCACTGTCCTACATCAACCCATTTGACAGGCAATGTTGGCTTCTAAGGTTCATAGTAATATTGCGGTTTGAGGTCACATCTGTGACATCAGAGGGGCAAGGTTCCAGCAGACCGCCGGTGCCATGCGGCCGCGGGAAGGGTCTCACCTGCAAGTGTGAGCCGCCTTGCACACCTCACGTGGTGGCCTGCTCAGAACTGGATGCTACCGTCAGGTGTGTTTTCTAAAGTTGAAACTATTGAGACAATGAATATAATGGTTCAGTAATTTAAATGTATTTATTTTTAATGGGAGAATTTGGTTAAGAAGAAACTAATTGACATGAAAATGTCTGAAATTTCTTACGTGCAAAGAAAGTGAACATTTTGTATTTAAAAACTGTAATGTGCACATTTTGAAATAAATCTGATGTTTGAAAAATTGTATTCTTCTGAAAGGCGCAGCAACTGTGAGGTGCTGGGAGGGGTGCAGAGCCTTTAGAGTGTATGGACCACACACTTTAGCTCCAGAATTTCTAGGAACCAGAGGGTTTGGAAGACAGCCCCAGGATCAGGTAGAAAGTGAAAGAGAGATAATTAAATTACAGATAGTTCCTGAGACCAGATGGCAGCCATCCTTCCACAGAGCTGGGAGAAGTGGGGGTGACGGGCAGCCGACCGCATGTGCTGTGGAACCTCCCAGGCCCTGCCCACCACCACGTAGCTCTGGGTGTGGCCTTCCTAGGCCACCCTCTGCCACGGAGCCACATGCCTGGCCTCTGCCCTGACATCAGTTTGCTTCCTCAGGTTCTGAACTCTTTAGATTTCCCTGCCCCCTCCCCTGCTTGGTGGGAAGAGGTCCAGTCACCACGTGTGTGGCTGGAGGGAGACCTGCTGGCTGCAGTGTCTGTGGCTTCGTTTCCCCCAGTGGACTGTGTGGTTGCCCCTCCCTGGCTTTCCCCAGGCCCCTCCCTCAGGACACAGGCAGCCCCTGGGGTGCAGCTGCGGCAGAGCAAGGGGCGACTAGTGGGTATGGCAGCCCGGGCCGTGGTTCTGGTGTGGGTGCAGGCTCACCATCAGTGACCCCTGGTCAGGCCCTTGATTCCTGAGCAGTTTCCGTTGGGGACACCCCAGATGCCCCTCCTCCGGGCTGCAGTTGGGGTGGGGCTGTGGCCTGAGATCTGGGGAGGTTGTCGATGCAGAGCCTGCAGAGCCGGCCTGTGGGGGCCTAAGCAGGGCCAAGAGGCCAGAGGCGCCCTCCCAGCCAGGGCCTGGACACGCCTTCCAGGAGGCTGATGCACCGGTGGGGCACCCACTTGCCACCAATGCCGAAGCCTGTGGGCGGGGCGGGGAGGAGCAAGGAGTCGGGCAGGGAACAGAGG